ACTGGAGTGGATTGCCATGCCCTCTTCCAGGGGATCTTCCCAACCCAGGGATCACACCCACTTCTCTTTATGTCTCCTGCATTGGCAAGTGGGTTCTTTACCACTAGCACTGCCTGGGAAGCCCAGAACTTGATAAGATGCTGTTTATTAATTAACCAAGAACAAGAACTTGATGAAACCAATCTCATGGGGTTTTGTTGGGAGAGGATTATGGTTTAACCGCTGTCCTGTAACATCTGGTGTTGTACTGAGTCTGGAATATGTTTCTCTGATGCTTCCACCTGCCATCTTCATCCACAGAGCATCAGCCTACAAGCTCCCTCAGATGGCAATCACCCAATGGGTAATTTCTCCCCAATGTGAATCCTAGGAAGACAGACCAGACATGGTGTCTGACACTGACTTTGGGATCAAATGCAAGAAGAAATATGGATGACATGGTCCCTTCAACTCTCTTTGACACTATTCACTAGTTAATATTTTGTTTCCAATCTACAGATTCCATTAGCCACTTGAAGTACCTCTGTCTAAAGCCATCTCTGTGGCTTACAAGCGATGGAGGTCAATTAACAGCAGGCGCCCCATCCCAACCCCCACAGCCCAGGGGTAAGTAACTCATGGATGCAGAACTGTGGGTGTTCAACTCAAGCAAAATGGGATCTTGAGAAAGAGAGGAGTATGGGCAGCTAATAAAAAGTCAATGCCTATCTCAACAACAACTACAGTAGCGACAGTTCACCTGCCATCTGATGGAATGGATGAAGCTGTAACCTTACACTCATCTCCCAACTTCATCTTCTATCAACACTTCAGAGGCAGGTATAGTCTTTACCCAGTTGCTAAGGCAATTGTGCCTACAGAGATTAAGCTACCAAGGGCAGTATGAGACAGAACAGCAGGAGGCAATCTTATTTGCCCAGTAGTTTGTGTCTTTATAGGAGTGCAACAACCCTATTGACTGTGTAGGTACTAGCTTTCTAACTTATCACCCATTCTCGCTCAGCTGGTGTTGACAACCAATAAGGAGTTAGCTAATGCAGTTTGAGGCTTTCCTTTCATTCCTGTGATCCTGGTCCAGGCAGAATTCCCCTCCCCAGGGATGATCATGTATTAACGTCACAATAACTTTCTGTTCAGCTATATGAGAAACAGAAGATAAGGCTCTTCACAACTTATGTTCTTTATTCTCTGAGAGGAACTTCAGAAAATGTCAGGATGTGGAGGAAAAAACCAAATCAATAAAAGGAAATGAATGAATGCCAGGGCACTCTGAGTGAATCTTCCTGGGTGACTGCCTTGATGTTGGATACTTGCAAGGGTCACCCAGGGTTCCACAAAACTGACCGTGGAGGTTCTGTGGATGTTTTCCAAATTCCGCACCCCTCCAAAGAAAAAAAGGAAGCTATACATGGGCACAGGATAAATGACACATTTTTGGTTGAGATTTTAGTAAGTGTTTTCAGAATAGATTCTTTACAATAAACAGAAGTTTAGGATGACAGATACATCTTCAGTTGGTGACAAGGGGAATAATAAATTCTCCCCCCAAAATGCAGTTTGCTAGATGATGACTTATAAAAAAGAGGGGAAGTCTGAATGTGAAGGAAAATCACAGAATGAGATTTTAACAGTACAACTTAGGAAGTGACTGGAATTTTTCCTGATTGGGTTTTCTTTCCTTTTTTTTTTTAATTTAAAAAAATTTTAATTGAAGTGTAATTGATTTAGAAGAAGGGGGCAACAGAGGATGAGATGGTTGGGTGGCACCACCAATTCAGTGGGCATGAGTTTGAGCAAACTCTGGGAGATAGTGAAGGACAGGGGAAGCCTGGTATGCTGCAGTCCATGGGGTTGCAAAGAGTCAGACACGACTGAGTGACTGAACAGCAACACTCCCTCAAAAGCCTATCTTACCACTTCCACACGTCTTAAAATTGTTAGCATCTATGCTGTTCCCTCTGCCTGCCTGTAAGAAACTCCTTCAAAGGTGCCATTTGCCTCGGCATCCTCAGCTCATGGAGCTGAGAGAGGCAATGGTGAGCTGAACTGGACTGGGAGAAAGACAGTCAAATCTAGAAACCAGGAAACCAAAGGACTCTGAAGACAGAAAACTATAGGAAACCCACACCATCCCCTGGATCTCCCGAATCCTGATGACATCACTTCCTGGAAAGAGACGTGGGTTTTGCAACCTCTCTGCTACTTGCTTCAGTCAACACAGATTACAGCTTTCCACTCCAGCCAAGGTCTGTTCTGTGTCCTCCGCGGTGCTCTTTGTTTGAAGACGAACTGCTCCTTCCTCTCCTCCCGCTATGGACTCCTTCAGCTTAAGCCAATGAAGGAAAAGGAGCCTTCACTGAAGATGCTCAGTTCCCGCTTTTTCACTTGGTACCAATGCACTCCAGGCAGTTTATAATCCAGCAAAACACCCAGGCAACTGGCTGAATTTCCTCCTTTCGACCAGTACTCTGCTCTAATAGAACATGCAGACATGGACATACACATCCCCAGCCTTTCTAAATTTTCTGGTCCTCCTGTCTTGAGAATTTTATCTTTCTACTAAGTGCGATTTCAGAACTCCAACCATAATGTTGCCAGCAAAGAGGCACAATCCACTATTACAACCAAAATGGTTAGGAAGATGGCTGGAATATTAAAGTGAAATCATGCACAAAGCAGTCACCAACAATGTGTTTTACCACTTGGAGATTCCTAAGCCTCTCCCTGGCAAATGTGGCATTCATTAGTTATGCCTGGCTATTCCTAGCAAAGAGCAAGTTCATTATAAGTTAGCAAATTTCAATTTTACAGCAGGTGTGTTATTCAGAGATTTTTTAAAATAAAGTGCTCATATGACACTAAGGCATATAATTTTATTTTATTTTTCTGTTTGGTATAGTAATGAGATACCAAGGGTACGTAGACCAAAAAGTGACAATTTTCATCTACTGAGGTAAGATAATGATTTTCAGACAAACTAATATGATGTAAACATGCAATTTTGCATGTATGGCTTATGAATCTTGCTTCAGTCATTACATGAGCCCAGAGGGTAATTCTTTCTTTTCTTCATTACTCATTATGTGGCCTTGGCAATAATAAATCTTTGTTTCTGCCAGAAGGATCTATAAAGTGGGCTCAATACTGTGGACTGGAGATAATCACTATATAATCAATGATTCCTCACAACATTTGGTCAGATATAAAAGGCTTAGGACACACAGATGTATTATTTTGGAGGACTGTGAGAATTTAAGGTCAAATCATCCTTGGTTTGTTATGATCCTCCACCTTTTCAGTAAAAAACAAAACAAAACTTTTTTTGCAGTATAAGCTCAGAATTGCCCTAAAAAGCTCAGAATTAATCTAAGTCTAATGATCATTTAAGAAATGATGGACATTGTCTTATTTCTCTTTTATTTCCCCTTTCTGATAATTTCATAGAGTCGCATTTCTTAATATCCTTAACTTTATTTATGTGCATTTGTTTTTAAAACACTTCAAATGCTCTACTCTGGAATGGGTGAGATATGACTAAATAATGAACAAAGAGCGTCTCCCTTTGTCATCAATATAATAGACATGATCTAGGCTTATTCAGGTTTTCTAAAAGACAGATAAGCTGAAGAGCTATAGAAAATGCATTTAACCCTTTCACACAGTCCTGAATATAACCAGATTCTTTCTAGAGGCCAGAAAGCCAGTCCTTGACCAGAGAAGGCCTGCGCCAGGCTGTGCTGGATAACACTGAGTTTTCCTGTGTGTGTGCTCAGTCACTTCAGTTGTGTCCAGCTCTTTGTGATCACATGGACTGCAGCCCTCCAGGCTCCTCTGTGGGATTTTCCAGGCAAAAATCCTGGAGTGGGTTTCCATGCCCTCCTCCAGGGGATCTTCCCAACCCAGGGATCAAACCTGAGTCTCCTGCATTGGCAAGCAGGGTCTTTACCCCCGAGCCACTGGGGAAGCCACATTTGGGTCCTGGTAACTCTTTGTGTTGGGGGGCTGGGTGGGGGGCCATCCTGAGCTTTGTAGGATTTTTAGCAGCATCCCCAACCTCCACCCAATAGATGCTATCACAATAACCAAAAAGGTCTCCAGACTCCCAGTGTCCTGTGAGGACTACTGCTTTAGGCACTTCTCTCTCTCCGATTCCAGGGGGCCAGAATATTCTAATAATCTAGAAGGATTCCTAACAGGATGCCAGGGACCCAGAATGTACCAGCAAGATTCCTAAGAGCAAAGCAGAAAGGATAGCACTTCGATACTGCAGCCCATTACACCAGTACCATTTCTTTCTTTTTTTTTTTTTAAATAGCATTCACCACCATTCCTTGAGACTCACTTGGCAACAGCAAAGTCCATGCAGAGAAAGACCAAACGGGCCATGGGGAACAAATTAATCTGCAAACAAATTCTCCTCAAAGAGGAAAAAAGGAAAGCAAAACCATTTTGGAAAAATCCCACGCAATGAGTCAATTCCAATTTCTTTGAGCTTTAAGAGTACACCTCCTCACCTAATTTTCTCTTCTGGGCCAAAGGTTCATAACACCTTTGTATGATATCATACAGGATATCACTGGGGAGAGGGACAAGACCACCCTGGTAATTGTTCCGTCTGAAACCCTCCTGTCCCCCCAACAGAGACGCTCAAGGGGCGTATGTGATCCAACCTCCTTAATCACCAGATGTTTGCAATCATCAGAAAGACGTCTTGGGCTGTAACCATTTCTCTGTTCTCCAGCATTCAGTCTCAAAGAGAATTTCCATAACAACATGTGACATGTAGAATGCTTAAAGGCACGAACCATGACAAGACAAATTACACTCATTTTTCAAGACTCTGCAAGGTGCTATGGGGCAAGCGGGCGGGCTGCATGCTGGGCTGTTCCGGAGGGCCGGTCAAGGCAGGCATGCACTCCATCGCACCACGCAGGGACTGGGGCGGGGGCTGGCGTGCTGGGGCGGGAGGCCCGCCCGCGGTGGGGGGGCTCCCCACTTACCCGCCGTAGGCCGGGATCGGGGGCGGGGGCGCCGCGGCCCGGAAGGTGTTGTACACGGTGCGGCCACGGCCGCGCAGGTGCGCCCCTCGGTAGGCGGCCGCCGCCGTGGCGGCTGGATACGGGAAGCCGGGCACTGTGGGCGGGAGGAGAGAACAGAAGGTTCAGATCGCGGCTGCCTTTGGGGGAACCATGCCCCCTCAACAAACACACCCAGGACCCTGCTCGCCTTAGGCCAGGGCCGGACACCCGCACCCCTTCCTTCCAGGAGTCAGACTTCTAAAGGCAGGCTGGAGGGACGAGACCAAGGTTCGATTCCACAGAGAATGGGCTAACTCAGTGACCCCTGGGACCAAGATCGAGGGCAAACATTCACAAAGGATTCTTACTAACGGGAAGTGCTCACTGCATAAACTTAACTTTTAAAAAAGGCAGACTGCAAGATGTATGTGTACTGGGTTCTCACATCTGCCTATCATCTATTAACAGGCATACCTGGCCAATATAGGTATTGTGCATGATACATAAGTAGATGAGCATGTAATATGCATAGGTGTATATGTACACATACACATAAGTATGTGTACATGTGTAAGTGATTATGTATAGTGAAGTGAAAGCTGCTCAGTTATGTCCGGCTCTTTGTGACCCCGTGGACTATTCAGTCCATGGAATTCTCCAGGCCAGAATACTGGAGTGGGTAGCCATTCCCTTCTCCAGACAATCTTCCCAACAAAGGGATCAAACTCAGGTCTCCTGCATTGCAGGTGGATTCTTTACCAGCTAAGCCACAAGGAAAGCCTGATTATGTATATATGTGTATATAAAATATTCATGGGTGTTAGTGTGCATATCACATGTATGTGTGCATGAGTATGGGAATATGTATACATGCTTATTTATATATATGTGCATATGTATATAATTATATATACAAATACATACACACTTCAATGTGTTTGTAGTTATCTCTGATTATCTAAATTATCTAAACTTCATGAGAAAATGTTGCTTGTCTACTCATAGCTTTTATCCATCCTGGTTTAAATTTTTTCCCATATTTCCTTTTAGGTACCTAGGGTTGCTTCTTATTCAGTTGCTAAATCATGTCTGACTCTTTTGTGACCCTATGGACTACAGCCTGCCAGGCTCCTCTGTGCATGTGATTGCCCACACAGGAATACTGGAATAGTTGCCATTTCCTTCTCCAGGGGATCTTCCCCACCCAGGGATAGAACCCGAGTCTCCTGCGGCTGTTGCATTGTCAGGTGGATTCTTTACTGCTGAGTCATAGGGGAAGCCCGTATAAGCCTATACTGCTAGTGAAAATGTTTTAATTGAAATACACTGTATCTACAGACAAGTGTATGCATCAGACATGTACAGACCCCTCATGCTCCTACAAACAAATCACTACTAAGATCCCATTAGCCCCCTATCCATTTACACAGCTTATAAAACCATTTATACAACAACAATAACTACAGAGAAGTATGAGGACTCAACTCTGAAAGAGAAAGTGTGGGCAGGGTTATCTTCCCAGGGGTGGCAGTGGGGAAATTCTGAGCCAAGTGAGTTGGTCAAGAGTCAGGAGGGAAAGTAAGCCTGATGCTTGAGACCCATGATAATTAACACAGCTTCCTCTGCCTGGGATGTTCTTCTTCCTAGGATGTCTGCAAACCCTAATGCACCCTGAGGACATCACCCCACCATGCTGCTCTTTCTAGTCCCTGAATCACAGGCTCTCACCACGCTGGTCATGCTCATCCCATCCCACTCTCAGCAGGCACTGTTACCTGCAGTGAATCCCATGGAGGGGATGCTTTTTTAGGAAAATACATTTGGAAAACCACTGTTCCAGGAGATCTATTAATATATGAAAGGCTCAGGAAGTCCTAAGGTAAGTGAAGTGCGTGCATGCACGCCAAGTCGCTTCAGCTGTATCCAACTCTTTTCAACCCTACGAACTGTAGCCCGCCAGGCTCCTCTGTCCATGGGATTTCCCAGGCAAGAATACTGGAGTGGTTGCCATTTCCTTCTCCAGGGAGTCTTCCCAACCTAGGGATCAAACCCACATCTCTTATGTCTCCTATATAAGCAGGCGGGTTCTTTCCCACTAGCGCCACCTGGGAAACCCAAGGGAAGTGCATTAACACCATCAACGCAGCAATCCCAGCCTTCATTTCTCTGGGAACTCTAGTTCACAGAATACCCAGCCTCTTGTGGGTACTGGTCTGGAGAAGAAAATCACTTATTATGTTTACCTCTTCTATTCATCTGCCAGCTCCTTGAGGGGCCCCCACTGGATCCCATTCATCCCTGCATTTCCCCGTGCATCCCCCCACACCAGCAGAAGCCCCTGGATTTTGTCCACAGTAGGTTCTAGATACTGGACACAGTTGATTCTGGATGACTTAAAGACGGGTGAATGAAGCCCTGGGATGTGGTCCAACCAAATGACTGACAGACTATGCATTCTCTCCTTGTTCCTTTCTCTCCTCTCATCCTGCTTGCCTAACAGGAGCTTAAAGCATCTCCTGTTAGAGAGGGAGCCAGGTGGAATGAACAAGAACCAGGATGGGTTTCCTCGTGTCCACAGCCCTGTCTCCCCTGTTCCATCTCTCTTGGGATTTTAGACAGTGTCAGTAGCAACATGCAAGGCTGGGAAGGACCCAGCTTCTCTTGGTCTGATAGGAAGATAAAGGCTCAGAGAGGCCGCACCACCCAGGAGGCTCTTTCCCAGAATCAAGGCGACACATCAAGCTCCCCTCTCCCAGAGTATGTATTTTGCCAAATTCAGGGTGTTGTGTGTCATATTATCTTAAACTCGCCTCCCTCTACATCCAAACAGCCTCCCTCCCTGCCATCATGTTCAAGAGCAGAAGACCTCCACATGGAGAGCAGAACAGACAGGTGGTTGCCAAGGGGGAAGGGGTTCAGAAAGAGACGAACAGGGAGGTGGGAGTTAGGAGATGTAAGGTTTTATATACAGAATGAGTAAGCACCAAGGTCCTACTGCATAGCACGGGGAACTATATTCAGTATCCTGTGATGTCATAATGGAAAAAAGAATTTTTAAAGAATATCAGAACACAGACTCTGTAGGACTCAAATTACTTTAGACCATGACATTTTTTTGCACCTTGTTTTATGTCCCTGGATATGTTCCAGTGTCTCCTAGTTTATAGTCTATGGGAACTTGAATAGAATTTGTATCCTGTTTTTGTGTGAAAATTATATAAATCTTCATTATGTTGAATCAGTTCATGGTGCTTTTCAGGTCTATGGTATCCTTCTTCTCTTCTGTCTATTCATTCTACCAATTTTTGAGTTTGATATGGAAACTCCAACTAAAAATCTTAATTTATCTACTTTAAAAAATACTTAAATAGTGGAACTATAAGTAATTTTGTTCTGTATTTTCCAAGTCTCTTATAATTGTGTTATCATGCTTTCATAATTTAAAAAAAACAAAAGGAAAGAGAAAAAATAGCTGTAAAATAGTGTAACTGAATAACTGTTGTACCACATAAATTAATACAATATTGTAAATCAATTCTTCAATAAAAGAAAAAATAACTAAAAAAAGTAGAAGCCCTTCACTCCATCAGCCCCCCTTACTCCCAGAGTCCTTGGACAGAGTAGATTTGTAGCTGCATGTCGGTGGCAGGAGGCTGGGAAGGGAAGGTAGTGGGATTTCCCACAGGAGTTATTCCTGATCCTATATTCACGGGATTGCATAGACTGGACTATAACTCTTAACCTGGAAGTTGAAGACAGACTGACTACCATCTGGAATTCTTTGTATGTTCTTGAATAGCTGACAGCCAGGCTGTTTCTTGGATTCTACCATATCCTTTTCTGATGATGCTAGTAAAATGCTAGGATGGTAGAACCAAGCCAGAATGATTTTATCTTTCTATTTATGTCCTTTATGTCCCAGAAGACCATCCAGGTTATTTCTTAAACTTTAAAAAATAGTTGTCAGCCAAGACAAATCCTATAGCAGTACTTAACTCTCAGCTTGCCAGCCCCTCAGCACCCATGTTTCTTAGCTGGTGTTTCAGCTGTGCTCAGTGGGTCAGTTGAGTGTGACTCTTTGCGACTCCACGGACTGGAGCCCTCCAGGCTCCTCTGTCCATGGGATTCTCCAGGCAAGAATCCTGGAGTGGGCTGCCATTTCCTCCTCCAGGGGATCTTCCCAACCCAGAGAAAGAAGCTGTGTCAGTTGCATCTCTTGTACTGGCAGGTGGATTCTTTACCACGATGCCACCTGGGAAGCCAAACTACTATTCTTGAAATTGCAAAGAGGTATCAGCCTCAATGGGGAAAGCGGGGCAATCCTAACATCCTGAAAGGCCAAGAGTTGTGAGATAGGAGATGTTGGCTTCAGCACTGCGGAGAAAAGGAGCGAGCGAGCCTTTGATTTCCAACGCGATCTTGCCACAGTTCAAATATTAAGTTTCCGGAGGAACACCCTGGATTTTGAAATAAAGCAAATGAAAAATTCACAATCTGGTGGAGCAGCTGGTTGCCTGTGTGAGGAAACGCGGTAATTATGCTGACCCATTCATTATCGTTGGCTGCGGCACGGAGTGAGCCAGACAAGATCCCTCTCAGCGACAAGCAGGTTTTACAATAATTCTTGGAGGATTTAGATGTTGAGATAGAACATGAAACAGAAGCTCGGCAGTGGAGCAGGGGAATGCAAGCTGCTAGAAGGGGAAAGCCAGGATGCCGCTGTGTACCCCTTTTACTGCAGGGAGAAAATAGCCTTCTCAATGCAGGATAAGGGATTTGCAAGTCTTCGTACCAAGCTCTTTGGGCTGCCCCAAGCAGGGCGCATTAAAGAGATTCTGGTTGTTAAAGGAACAAGGGTAGGACTGCACATCAACTTCCTGGGAGGCCAAGTGCCCTCAGGTAAGATAAGCAGCCAACTGATGTGAAGAGCTGACTCATTGGAAAAGACCCTGATGCTGGGAAAGAGTGAAGACTTAAGAAGAAGGGGGCAACAGACGATGAGATGGTTGGATGGCATCACCAACTCAGTGGACATGTCATTGTTCAGTTGTTCAGTAATGTCTGACTCTTTGCGTTTTATGTCCTTTATGTCCCAGAAGACCATCCAGGTTATTT